AGCTATTCACTCATGTGATAGTCCCAGACATCAGTTCAAATATCCCTGCACGTTAAATATTGAGTGAAGGCTTTTTATGCACTTGTTGCTCAGCAATGTGCCTGGGGACTGCTTTAATACAATCATTGAATTAGTGTGGTATATACTGTTTAATAAGAGATGTCAGCATTTTTTTATGCACTGATTTGATGGGCTATCCCATTATTGAAGATGAGAATATTTGTGGAGCCAGTGAGTTGTTTTATTGTCCACCACCATTCATAATCAGATACAGCAGAACTGCACACCTATCTAAATCTCTCTGTTCTTGCATCCACTCTAAAGGGGGAACTATTTATCTTATCTCAGCTCCTCCAACTGACCAGACTGACCCACTTCTACATGCAAGTACTGGAAGTGTCAAAAGCAGGAACCATTGCTTGGGAAGGTGGAGCTGATCAGGCTCATAAAGGTTTTGGTTTTCTGCTTTCTAGATCCTAATCAGAATTAAAGCGCTGGAATAGTACAAGGATATTGTACCTCAATTCCCTGCTCCGGTCCTGCTGCAATCTTAAACTTTCCGACTTCAACTGTTTCTTGGATCTGTTACAATAATTTTGTCTTTGTTGAAACCGCCACAATAGATGAGATTTTTCCACTTCCTCTCTCTGTCCTCAGTCTTTTGTTCAAAATACATTCTCCTATTGTGGGGAGCTTCGTAGAGATGACACAGATTTCAAAAGGGTAGGTTGATTGTCAAATCTGCTTGCACTTTTCGAATAGGCAACAGATGGAGTGACTGGGAAATGTGGTGGACTTCCGGAAATCTTTGTTCAAATTACCACATTATTAGAGAAGCTAAAATAAGAAATTTGTATTAACTTTTGGTCTAGAAAATCTTAATTGGAACACATTATCTTTGTGTCATTCCAGCCCTGCATTACAAACTTGTAGCTGGAATACATTAAGCTGATAATAAATAATCTTCAAGACTCTGTCCAGCTCCTCCTCTCTAAGCAGCAATTCCTGCCTTTGACCTTACCAGTATTTTCCAGGGAGAAACTGCTTTCACATATGAAAGGATGAAGAAAGAGTGGGGCACAGAGTGAAAGTAGTTTGTAAAAGAAGCAAATGAGAGGTTTGGGTTTCTAATGCACTGGCTGGAAGTGTGATGATGGCAGGTTCAACTGAAGCATTCAAGAGGGAATTGAATGATTATTTCAATAGAAACAAGGATATGTGGAAAAGACAGGAGAATAACATTGAATCATAAAGATCATTTAGAGAGGCAGTGCAGACACAATGGCTGAATGGCTTCCTTCTGCATTATAACACTTCTGCAGCTCTGTGAATTGGCTTTATAGAATATAGAACTCTTGAGGAATGAGTGGGAGCAGCATTGAATCTCTGTCTCTCTGGAAAAACTATTCAGAGACTACGATAAAGTTATAGAGTCATAAAGATGTACAGCACAGAAACAGCCCCTTCAGCTTAACTCATCTAAGCTGACCAGATATCCTAAATTAATCTAGTCCCATTTGCCAGCATTTGGCCCATAACATGTTAAAGCCTTTCTAATGGAACAGAAAGGCAGCAATATTTAGCTGGAGAGTGAAGACAGGAAGATTGTTGGAGTGAAGAACGTAGAAGAATATTGTCATAATTACCCATCTTGTTCAGTAATATCCTTTCGGGAAGGAAGTCTGCCATCCTTTCCTGGTCTAACCTTCATGTGATGCCAGACCCACAGCAATACGTTCTGGGCAATTAAGATGAGCAGTAAGTGCTGACCTAGTCAGAGATGCCCACAAAGCAAAAATGAATTAATAAAAAAGTCAAAAAGGAGGGTATTTATCCAATTGAGCCTGTTCCAACATTTAATTTGTACCTTGTGAAAACCTGGTTCACTGTTTGGAAGTATAGTTAACAATTTAAGTTATTTCTGTCAGAAATTTGGGTCTTTGGCAGTGAAAGTTGTAAAAACAATCCTGATGTCAGCGATTCCTTACTAATAAGTATGATTGTACACCTAAGAAATTCACGTCATATGTCATGGGTTCTGTGGGTCCTTGTGCGGCTGATGATTCCAACCCTAGACCATGTTGCCAACCAAACATTTAGGAGGTGGAATTGGTCCTTGGCCTTGAAATTGCTGGCATTCCTTTCTCTAGTTCTTTTACTGTACTTCTTCTTGCCACCAGGTGTTCTCAAAGAATTGTGTTCCTTCATACAGGAGCTTCTTCCAAGTCAGTTTCATTTGAACAAGGGCCTCCTATGACATCTATTGCATTTCTCAAGGGAAGCCTTTAGGGAATCTTTGAAATGCTTACTTTTTCCTCCTCCTTGAATTGGGTGAAGTGATTTCCTCTGGCAGTTGAAACTCGGGCTATCCTATTCATGTGGCCTGTCCAGCAGATTTAGGACAAAATGCCCAACCTAAACAGTGATGCCTTCATTCTATCAATGAAGAAAATAAACTCTTTTTGGCTGTTCCATTACATGTGACATTGCTGTGGAGATGGGTGGAATTCAGTGAGATTTTTTTCTTTTGAGTTTATCTTTCTGAATTCAACTGCACTCTAGCCACCAGACAAGAACGAATAATGTTTGGAAAGGCACAAAGAAACAATAACAAAAACTAGCTGGAAAAACTCAGAAGGTCAGGCAGTATTGGTGGGAGAAATATTTCATCAATACTGAAGGAAAACTGAGGTGTTAAGATTTTCAAGACATTGAAAGGGAAGAGCAGACTTGAAGATCAAAGTAGAAGACCTGGCATAGGGTGATGGCCAGGGACGATTAAATAACAAGAGGTTTCATTTTGCAACAGGTAAGAGGAGTACAGAGCTTTTATTGGCTCATCCACATTAATGTTTCTCATCAATGTTACTGCCCAGAACAGTAGTGGAGGGGGGAACGATGTGATGCCTTTGAATATCAAGGTGAGATGGTTACATTTTCTCTTGCAGGAGGTTTTGAAGTGCTCATTGCCTACAAATCTTATGGCGTACATGTAACCTGCTGCATACTAGTCATTGCCTGAAAGTGGTGAAAGAGGCAGATGGGATCTTAGGCTTTATAAATACAGATGTACAGTGTAAATAGAGGTCTCTCTCAGTGTTTAGGTGGTTTTATGATTGGTGCTTAGGGATTCATGTCCTGATGCATGTCACTTTGTTTCAGATACTCATTCTCTCCGGTAGTTCTGCTGCAATGACACCAATTCCCAGTTTTCCAAATTTTCGGTTATGTAGACAAGGTCCAATTTGTTATGTATGACAGTGATCAGAAAGAGTTGATTCCCTGGGAACACTGGATGATGGACAGCGGGGGCCCTGAGTTTTTGTAACAGAAAATTTTCCTTGCTCAGGAGATGAAGCACAGTTTTCCAATATTTTCCAATATTCATGTCACGGTTCAACCAGAAATTTGGCACTGTCAGAAGGTGGACCTCAGTTAGACACCCTCTGAGTTTAAGTGAAGACAAGCGTCCAGCAGAGGGCTGTGAAGATACTGATTGGCGGTCAGGGTGAAGATTTGCATTGGCGCAGTCACAACTACCAGAAAGAGGACCTTGGCAAGACAACCTCCAAGAAAAAGGGGTGGCACAGTGGCTCAGTGGTTAGCACTACTATCTCACAGCACAAGGGACCCAAGTTCAATTCCAGCCTCAGGCAACTGTCTGTGTGCTCTTTGGAGAGTGTTGGTGTGGACTTGTTGGACTGAATGGCAATTTCCACACTCTAGGGATTCTATGGTAAGTTGACATCTTCCTGTGTATTCAGGGAGTCTGGATTTCCATAGGCTGATTTGGCTGCAGTTTTTGGAACATTTGGTGGGGATTCCCATTGCAACTGACTCTGATGGCTCTGATTGACAGGGATGACTGTTCCTGATTGGAAGCTTATATTTCTGATTGCCAACTTTTAAGTTTGGCATGATAGCTCAGTGGTTAGTACTGAGTGCCACCAACCCTTGTTTGATTCCAGTCTAGTGTCACTGCCTCTGCGGAGTTTGCACGTTCCTCCCTGTCTGTATGGTTGTTCTCCCACAGTCCAAAGACATGCAGGTTGGGTGGATTGGCAATGCTAAATGCAGGGTTACGAGGATACGGTGATTTGCTCTTCAGAGGGTCAATGCAGACTCGAAGGGCTAAATGGCCTCTTTCTGCATTGTAGGGATTTTATGATGACAGAGTTGACGTCAATCTGATCAGTTTCGGATTGACAGAGATCCACACGTATCAGATAGAGAATGGCTGTGACCTGAGAGATAATGGGTCTGCGATTGGGTTCAGTCAATAAACATGGGAAGGCTGACATGTCCTCAGTTTAGATACGGATCACATGGCGCGGGTGACACTGGTTCCTTGGACAGCTGGCACCACGAACAGGTGTTAGCCAGATGCGTTCGATAACCAGCGGTGGAATCAATTCCTGGAGGAGGAGCATATTGTGTGGCTGAGGAAATACCTGAAGTACGCACTGAGAGTTGGAGAGTGATGTGTGGAGTGAGAGACAGATTGTGAGGAGACAGTAAGAGTTGTGGAGTGAGAGCTGGTGATTGAGTAGGGCAATGAGAGTTGGTAAAAGCAAAGGGAAAATGAGAGTTAGAGACAATTGATGGGGGGGAGAGTCGATGAGAAAGTGGTGCAAGGGACTCTATCTTGAAATCATTGTATTGACCTCATTCTTTTTCCCTCAGCTGCTGCTGTCCTTTATCTAACCGTCTGTCCTGTCTCATCTCAGGGTTTTACCCTCAATCCATCGAGCTGACTCTGGGGAGGGAGGGAGCGTTGATCAATGAGATCCTGTCCACTGGGATCTTACCCAATCACAACAGGTCCTACCAGATCCAGAAGTGGATGTTGTTTGACCCGAAGGATCAAGCTGACTTTTCCAATTGGGTGGAGCACAGCAGGCTGGAGGAGAAGTTGGTGGTGATTTACAGGAGAATTTTGTTCCTATTAAGTCACTGTTTTTAATTTAAATTATGACATACACACTTGTGCTCTCATTGTGTCAACTTGCTAATTCAGTGACTTTATTATTTTGTCTGCGACCTTGAAGCAATTTTCTGTTTCTCTGGGGTTGAAGCTTTGCCTGTTCTATGAGGTGTGGTTCCTTCTGCAGTGCATTCTGAAACCCTTCTTCTTTGTTGAAACCAACACAACAGAATCCTCTATGAAATTGTACTGTATTGTATTGAAATCCAGACTCTTTGTTGACCAGAAGACATTACTGGACTCATTCAAACTGTCCAAAATCTTTTATTTCTTTGCTGGCGAAGGACCAGGGATCAGTGACACAAAAATCTCAAAGCTCTTTTTTGGAAGGACCAACCATCTTGTAGCATCTCACTACTGGAAATGAGCATGACTGAGGATTGGTGAGCATGTCAGAATGTGCAAAGTGGTGGAAACACTGCTGTAATTAACACTGACAATCTCAATTTGGACTTTGGAATCACAGAATTGTTACGTTGTAGAAGCAGACTCTTTGGCCCACCATATTTTTACCAGCTCTCTTCTATTTCCCATAATGCTGACTATTGCTTTTTTAAAATACAATTTTGGAATTAAATTTCTATTTTTTTATAGACAACAGCACCAGACTGTTTCAATATCATGTGACATGAATCGAGATGGTCCTGGGGAAGAGAGAGATGGTTTTGGATAGACTCAGAAATGGCAGATATTAGCTTAAGACAATCATTCAGGATCAGGGACAGCAGATCCAAAATCCCAAAGGATGGAGACATAGGTGCCTGACAGTCTGATTGAATCTCAAATCGATTGAACTAATCAGTCAGTGACTCTGGTGATCAAATCAGAATTCCTAAATTTGCAGATGACACAAAATTGGAGGCGGTAGGCAGGTCTGCAGGAGGTCTTCAACAAGCTACCAGAAGACAATAATACACTTTAAAATGAGCTAATATTTGGCAAATGAAGAAGAGGGACAAAGGGATATCAGAGTACAAATACATCAAATACTAAACTTTGTGGCACAGGTTAGCAAGGCCGCAAATAAAGAAAACTAACCAGTTGACTTTACTTTTAAAGATAGAATTGAAGATTTAGTAGCTTCTGTTAAATCTATCCTGAAATTTGATGAGACCACATGGAGAATATTGCACGTAGTTCTGGTCACCATGTGGTTTAAAGTCTATTGAGGCACGAAGAGGATGCAGAGAAGATTGATTGATTTATTGTTGTCACATGTACGAAGATACAATGAAAAGTGTTGTTTTGCATGCTATACAGGCAGATCTACCATACAAAGTGCATCAGATAGTAAGACAGAATACAGAATAATGTTACAGCCGCAGAGAGAGAGAGATCAGAATTAACGATTGAGAGGTCCGTTCAAAAGTCTGTTAACAACAGGGAGGAAACTGTTCTTGAATTTGTTTGTGTGTTCAAACTTTTATATCTTTTGCCTGAAGGAAGAGGGTGGAAAAAAGTAGAACTGGGGTGGGAAGTGTCTTTGATATTAATGATATCAGAAATGTTTGGATGTACGTGTCAGGAGAGGATTGACAATCTGGGTATATTCTCCAGCTAAAGCAGAAATTTCTGGAGAAACTCAGCAGGTCCAACAGCATCTGTGGACAGAAAATAAAGTCAATACTTCAGGGCAGTGACCCTTCATCAGAGTTTTCATCGGGGCCTCTTCTCTGTTGAATAATGGAACTCGAGGGGTGAACCAATACAGATCTTTAGAATTATGAAATGTTTGATAGCGTGCATAGAGGGAGATGTTAAGTCCTCTTGTCGGGTAGAACATAGCAAAGGCCTTCATTCTAAAATAATCACCACAGAATCCAAATTAAATTTAAAAGAAATTTCTTTGGGTAAAGGGTAGCAAAAATGAGGAACTTGTAGCTAGAGGAAGTGGTAGATGTGCATTTAAGGAAGCAAGGAGGAACTAGACAGTGACAATGAGAAGTTTAGTTTATATCCTTCAGGGAAGGAAATACGCCATCCTCACCTGGCCTGACCTACATGTGACTCCAGACCCACAGCAATGTGGGTCTGGAGTCACATGCCCTCTGAAATGGCCTAGCAAGCCATTCAGTTGTACTACAAGATCTGAAAGATAAAACCAGATGGATCACCTAGCATTGGCCTAGGCACCAGAAAAAAACAATGGCAGAAACAGCCCTGATAAAATCCTCCTCACTTACATCTGTGGGTTAGTGCCAAAACTGGGAGAGCTGTCTCACAGACTAGTCAAGCAACAGCCTGACATAGTCATACTCACAGAATCATACCTTACAGACAATGTCCCAGACACCACCATCACCATCCCTGGATATGTCCTGTCCCACCGGCAGGACAGACCCAGCAGAGGTGGCAACACAGTGGTATACAGTCGGGAGGGAGTTGCTTAGGGAGTCCTCAACATTGACTTCAGACCCCATGAAGTCTCATGGCTTCAGGTTAAACATGGGCAAGGAACCTCCTGCTAATTACCATGTACCGTCCTCCCTCAGCTGATGGATCAGTACTCCTCCATGTTGAACAACACTTAGAGAAGCACCGAGGACGGCAAGGGCACAAAATGTACTCTGGGTGAGGGATTTCAATATCCACGACCAAGAGTGGCTCGGCAGCAGTACTACTGATCGAGCTGGTTGGGTCCTAAAGGACATAGCTGCTAGACTGGGTCTGCAGCAGGTGGTGAGGGAACCAACAAGAGGGAAAAACACACTTGACCTCATCCTTACCAATCTGCCAGCCGCAGATGTATCTGTCCATGACAGTATCCATAAGAGTTATCACCGCACAGTCTTTGTGGAGACAAAGTCTCGCCTTCGCAGTGAGAATACCCGCCATCATGCTGTGTGGCACTATAATCGTGCTAAATGGGACAGACTTGGAACAGATCTAGCAACTCAAGACTAGACATCCATGAGGGGCTGTGGGCCATCAACAGCAGCAGAAGTGTACTCCAGCACAATCTGTAACCTCACGGCCTGGAATATCCCCCACTCAACCATTACCATCCAACCAAAGGATCAACCCTGGTTCAATGGAAAGTTCAGAAGGGCATGCCAAGAACTGCACTAGGCATACCTGAAGATGAGGTATCAACCTGGTGAAGCCACTGAACAGGACTACTTGCATGCCAAATGGCATTAGCAGCCAGTGATAAACAGAGCTAAGCAATCCCACAATCAACAGATCATATCTAAGTTTTGCAGTCCTGCCACATTCCAGTCGTGAATGGTGGTGGACAATTAAACAATTCATTGGAGGAGGAGGCTTCACAATTACCCCCATTCTCAATGATGGAAGTGCCCAACATATCAGTGCAAAAGATAAGGCTGAAGCTTTTGCAGCAATCTTCAGCCAGAAGTGCCAAGTGGATGATCCATCTCGACCTCCTCCAGTGCTCCGCAGCATTACAGATACCAGTCTGCAGCAAATTTGATTCACTCCACGTGGAGACACTGGATACTGCAAAGGCTACGGGTCCTGACAACATTCCGCAATAGTACTGAAGACTTGTGCTCCAGAACTTGCCGCTCCCCTAGCCAAGCTGTTACAACACTGGTAACCCAACAATGTGGAAAATTGCCCAATATGTCCTGTAAATAAAAAGTAGGACAAATCCACCCTTGATGGCCAATTACCACCCCATCAGTCCATTCTTGATCATCAGTAAAACGATGGAAGGCATCATCAACAGTGCTATCAAACAGAATCGGCTCAGCAATAACCTGCTCAGTGATGCCCAGTTTGGGTTCCACCAAGGCCACTCAGCTCCTGATCTCATTACTTGGTTCAAACATGGACAAAAGAGCTGAATTCCAAAGGTGAGGTAAGAGTGACAGCCCTTGTCATCAAAGCTGCGTTTGACTGAAAGTCATTAAGGAGTCCTAGCAAAACTGGAATCATTAAGTATTGGGGGAAAACTCTCCAGTTTTTGGAGTCACAGCTGACACATCAGAAGATAGTCATGGTTGTAGGAGGTCACTCATCTCAGCTCCAGGACATCTCTGAAGGAGTTTCTCAGAGTACTGTCCTCAGCCCAACTATCTTCAGCTGCTTTGTCAATGACCTTCCCTCCATCATAAGGTCAGAAGTGGGGATGTTTGCTGATGATTGCACAATGTTCAGCACCATTCGTGACTCCTCAAATTCTGAAGCAGTCCACGTTTATCTTCAGCAAGTTCTGCACAATATCTAGCCTTGGACTGACAAGTGGCAAGTAAAATTCACGCCACACAAATTCCAGGCTATGACATCTGAAATAAGAGACAATCTGACCACAATCCCTTGACATTCAATGGTGTTACCATCACTGAATCCCCCACTATCAACATCCTGGGAATTATCATTGACAAGAAACTCAACTGGACTCACCATATAAACACATTGATTACAAGAGCAGGTCAGAAGTTGGGAATACTGTGGTGAGCAACTCACCTCCTGACTCCCCAAAGCCTGTCCACCATCTACAAGGCGCAAGTCAGGAGTGTGACGGAATACTTACCACTTTCCTGGATGAGTGCAGCCCCAACAACACTCAAGAAGCTTGACACCATCCAGGACAAAGCAGTCTATTTGATGGACACTAATATCCATAAGCATCCATTCCCTTCACCACTGAACGCTCAGTAACAACAGTGTGTACTATTTATAAGATGCACTGCAGAAATTCTCAAGATCCTCAGACAGTACCTTGCAAACCCATAACCACTTCCATCTAGAAGAACAAGGGAAGCAGATAAATGGGAACACCACCACCTCCAAGTTTCCGTCCAAGTCACCCACCATCCTGACTTGGAAATATATTGCCGTTCCTTCACTGTTGCTGGGTCAAAATCCTGGAATTCCCTCCCTGATGGCATTGTATGTCAATCCATAGCAGATCAACTGCAGCGGTTCAAGAAGGCAGCTCACCACCACCTTCTCAAGGGCAGCTAGGGATGGGCAATAAATGCAGCCAGTGATGCCTATGTCTCAAAAAAATTAATTAAAAAAGAATGAAGGATGGGAGGAGCTACAAGTAAAGTACAAACACCACTGATTGGGCAAATATCCTCTTTCTGTGCCATATAATCCTGTGTAGTAATTATTCTGTGTCCCTCATTCTTTGTTGATTCTATCACTACATTTGATTATTTCTCTCTCTTTAATTTCTTCTGTCTCTATGACAGTCCGAAAGTCTCATTCCCGGGTTCCTGTTATGTCAGGGTTGCACTTGGTAATCGCGGGATCACTCCTCTCATTGTTATGGCTATTGTCACATACAAGAAGAAAGGTAGGAGTTTGTTAGAAAATAGCAGCTCCTCATTGGTGTTTAAGGTGTTGGAGATCCTGATGAAGGGTTTTCCACAGTGGAGTTAAGGGCTCAGGGTGCATGTAGGTGCTCTGGGTGGAGAATAGTCTTCGGGTTAGCAGTGACTCAAGTTGTGGGGAGATGGCTTCAGGTTGTGGAGAATTGGTCTGAGATGGTGTCCTGTTCCTCAGGGTAGGGTGGAGGGTCTCAGGGTTCAGAGACTCATATTGTGAGTGTGAAGTCAGACAAATACGATCGCAGGCGGGTTCAGTTCAGAGGTGGGCAAGAGCAGCTCAGGTCAGTAGAGAATGAGTATGAGAAGAAGGGTTGATGCCAGTATGGGAGAGACAGTCTCGGGTTTGTTTGAGAAATGAAGGGTTCAGATTGGTGTCAGGACTGAGAGTCTCAAGAGGGTTCATGCCATCTCTCCCTTTTTCTCATGGTTCCAACCTCTCTGCTATGATTTAGTTTTTTGTCACTCACAGAACATTCTTTGTTTTATAAAGCAAGTGAAGAATGGTAAGCTGATAATTCACATATCTCTGGATCTCTGTTAACGTGTGACTAACTCTACTTTCTATGTTGTATACTCTCAATAGCTTGTTTATTTCTTCTGTCTCTCTGTTTGTGCACCTGTGTTACACTTCATCTTTGTGAATTTCTCTTTCTCTTTTGTTTGTTTTGCTGTCTGTCCCCGTCTCTGCCTGTCTGTTTATATCTATCCATCTGTCATTCTGCAAGTTATTATAATCTTTTCTTTCTCTAAGATCTGTCTCTTGGTATGCCTCTCTTCCCACTTCTTTATCTCTCCATTTCTTGCTCTCCCTCCTCTAACTTTGTCGATTGCTCTGTCTCTGTCTCTCTGATATTGAATAGTTTTCAATGCCTTTCCTTCTATCTGCAGCTTCTGATGAAGTAACATCCTCAGCCAGTTCTGCCAATACCTGAAGTACGAATTGTTGATCAATGCTGGGAGCAAGTCATCCTAATTGGGATATTGGAGCTGATGTTAAATATACAATCTCTAGTGTAGAGTCTGAATTCAGTGCCTCTCTCTGTGTGATCAGTTGAGACCAACTCAAACAGTCCTACACTGAACTTCCATAGAGTTCACCAGTTTATAGTCCAACAGGTTTATTTGAAAACCCAAGCTTTCAGAGCATAGCCCCTTCATCAGGTGAAGCCCTCACTTCACAGTTCAACACCAAGCTTTCATATTGGCCTTCTGGGAATGGGTGTACAGGTCTGAGCCTTGAAATATCTTTGAAAGATGGGATTTGGTCTATGGAAACACCTGTACATAACATCCTGGATGAGGTCTCCTGCCAGCTGGTCAACTGCTTTCAAGGAGTCAATATTCCAAGATTCCTTGCTGAAGTTGGATCCTGGAGTTCAGTTCTGCTCTCCCAGAATTCTGAATTTCTGCATGCTTGCGCAATGCTGTGTGATGGGTGGGGTCTGGCTAATAGAGAACTCAGAGCAGGAGATCAGACCACGAGGAGACTTATGATCTTGGAGGGAGTGCAGTGTCAACAGACAAGAATTAAACCTGGACTTCGAGGGTTAAATTATAAGAAGAGATTCAACTAGCAGTGTGTTCACTGAAATATAGAAGATTAAAGGTTGATTTGATGGAAGTTTTCAATGTATTAGGAGAAATGGATGTGGCAGCTAGAGGATGTGGCAACAACTTCTAATTGAGTTAGCATGACTGAAAAGATTAATTGCGGCAATGGAAATTGCAGCTAGAGGGGAACTGTGTCCACTGGTTGGGAATTCTTGGACTAGGGAGTTAGGGAGCTAGTGTAATTAGAGCCAAATCAATCAAATGAAACGAGGAAACACTTCCACATAGAAAGGATAGGAAATGGTTGGAACTCTCTAATTCAAAATGACATTAAGACAAAATCAATTGTTAATAACTTTGGTGAACAGAAATCTATAAATCACAAATTAAGGGACAGGTAGCAGTTACGTAAATATATTTAGGTTACAAACTATGCATGATCTCTTTGTGTAATGGAACAGAACTGAGGGGCTAAATAGGCTCCTCATCGTCCAATGCCTCTGTGGGTTTTGATTGCATTTAAGGGGTCGATCTGTTGGATTTTATTGATGTTTTGGAAATGGATTTTTTGAGTTTCGCTGCTGATGGTTATGAGAGATGATGGGATTTCTGTGCTCTGTGATCAAGTATATTTTTTCCTCATCTCCAGTGGCCCCTTGTGTCCTTGCTGGTAGTTCAGATTTCCATTGTCGCAATTAATCTTTTCAGTCATGCTAACTCAATTAGAAGTTGTTGGAGTGGGTGGATGATGGTAAGTGAACTCAATGCGTAGAAATGTTAAGTGATGAACTTTGGTCAGAAGCTCACTGAAAGATAATATAAGGGTTACAGTTCTGAAGAAGGTGCAGGAGTGGAGGCGCTTGGGTAGATATATGTGTTGTGCTATTGTCATTGCATAAATAATCCAGAACACCAGATTAATGTTAATGTGCCCATTGGTTTGAATCCCACCGTGGCGGATGGTGAAATTTGAATACAGTA